CTGAATAAAATAGACAATCAAGGAATTGGTAACCTTGCTGGTTAGGGAGGCATGTGAGCAGATAGAAGGTGGTCACTCCTCTGCAGGACATTGGAAGGCTTCAAGACTGGGTTACCAAATTGCAGGGCACTTCCAGGCATGCAGGGATTCCCCTGCCATACTTGGTGAGTCCATCCCACCCCTGTGGCCAGTCTGAGAGCCATCACCAGGGTGGCCCAGCCTCCTGACCTTGGAGGATCCTCAGACACTGCAGGTGTACAGACCCTTATGTTGGTCTCTGTGTCAGTCAGAGACACAAGTGACAGGAGCCCAATGAAACTGGTTTAAGCATAGAGGCCCTACTGGTTATGCACCTGAAAAGCTGTTGATCATCTCTTAGTCATCTTCCCCAGAGTCAGCCCCATCCCTTGCTGGTCTCCCCACTGGGGCAGAAGGGCCACCAGTGGGCCCTGGCTTATGGTCCAACCTCAAGGCTGGGAGGGAGCCCCTCGTCCCTCATTGACTCCTGCTGGCTCTCTCTGAACCACTTGCTATGGTGGGCTCTGACTGGCCAGACTGGGAGTGAGGTTAGCTTGTTAGGTCTGGTGGCCAGAGCTCGAGGTAGGGTGGAAAATCTGGAAGCCTACCAATGCCTGGCAGAGAGGTGCTATGCAGCCAGCCACCTACTTCTGCTTCTCTTCAGCAGCTCAATCAACTAAAAAGGACAAGAGAAGCCCGCTTTTGACCCTCTAGGCCCCTGCTGGAAAAAAAAGCAGGCAAAGCACTTAGCATTTGGTTACAGCAGATCGATGACCCTTAAGTTCACTGCCTTCATGAAAGCCCCACAAGCTTGGCATCGCAACTGACTGCTCACAGCCCAAGGGTGAGAGATGCTGTAAGGGAAATCACTGGTGTGGTCTGCATGTGCTCACTTATTACAGCTGAGACTGAATCAGCAGCTGACTTGGAGCAGCCAATCCAGGCTGTTGACAGACAGTGATGCAGGGCAGACTGAAGGCAGGAAGGGCCTGACTGCACTACTGAGTGTGGCCAGGGGGCCAGCAAGGTCCCAATAGGCAGGGGACTCAGCATCAGCAGATGTGTGGTGTACTGGCTGATTGCTGTCAGAGAGGTCACCCAGGGCTGCTCACTCCCCTGTGTATAGCCATTCAGAGACTCCCTTCACCAGGTGTATCCATCAGGACCCTGGAACCTTCAGCCTGGCCTGTCCTCTCCACCTTACTTAGCTCCTCATCTGTACCTCCTGCCACCATGCCTTTCCTCTCAATTTCTTGTAGAGCTCCTGATCACTGGTCAAGGCCCAGTCAGTTCTGATTCCTTTCTTGCAGCATCTCTGTGGAACCTGCTGGGTGGAATGAGTCCCTCCCAAATACTAAAAGCTGGAGCCATCAGGTTCACACACAGATCTGCTGGCAGATATTGTCATTTCTACCCTCAAATTATGTCCTAAATCAACTGTGTCTCCCCACCCGGTGCACCATTGCCTGGATACCTGCAGGAGTCTTCTAGCTGGGTTCCCAGCTTGGTCCTGGCCTTCCTCCCTACAGAGCAGCCAGAGGGAGCTTCTTAAACATGGACATTAGGTCCCATTATTGCCCTATTCAGAACACACAGGGACTTCTTATCCCACTCAGAGGAAAACCAGACACTCTGTACAGCCTACACAGTCCTGTGTGGTCCACCCCACCCCCCCCATTCCTGACTACGCAGTCACCCCCTCCCCCAGAGCCCCTATTCTTCTATTCTCAGCCACCCTGGAGCTGCCTCTTGATCCTCCTGCAGAACCCATGCCCACCCCAGGGCCTTCATATTTGCTTTTACCTCCACCAGAAAGCTTCTTAATCACTTTGGTCATTGAGTGTCACCTGTTCAGAGAAGGCCTCTGCTTCACTTGCAGGAGCCCCTCCCTATGTCCTCTGGCTATCTCTCAGTCCCTTTGCTCTTCAGACTGGAATGCAGCCTACCATTGCACTGGGCAATCATGGCTGGCCCTGCTCCCCGCTATGGTCCCAAATGGTGTCTGGCCCAAAGGAGACACATGGTGCATAATCTAGGAAGAACCTAGACATGAAAGGCTGCTCAACACCACTAGCCAGGGGCCCTTGAAAGCCACTCCTTCCTGCAGTGTGTCCACTCTTCCATTTGAGCTTCCCTAAGGTGGAAGAGCCCATCTCCTGGAAGTCCATGATGCTGCATGACATTGCATGTAAGCAGAGGAAGGTGTGTGTGGGAGCAGAGAAGGGAGAGAAGCCATCCTCCTGGGAAGCAGGAACTGGCTGGGCCTGACCTGGGCACCATATTAGGGCCATCAAGGGGCCAAGCAGGCCAGGGGTGGGTAGGTGATTCAAGGCATCTGTCTGAGTAGGAGAGACCTGGCCCAGCCATCCAGTCATCGCTGCACAGTTGTACAGGCCCATTGATGACCCCTCGTCTAGAAGTTGAAGGAGGGTAGGCAAAAGACCGGAACAGATACCTCTCCAAGGAGGACATACAGAGGGCCCAAGAACATATGAAAGGGTGCTCAACATCACTAGTCATCAGAGAGATGCAAATTAAAACCACAATGAACCCTTACTGGTGTGGCTCAGTGGATTGAGTGTCAGCCTGCAAACAAAAGGGTCACTGGTTCAATTCCCAGTCAGGGCACATACCTGGGTTGTAGGCCACATCCCCAGTAGCGGGAACGTGAGGCAACCACACATTGATGTTTCTCTCCTTCTTTCTCCCTTCCCGTCTCTATAAATAAATAAATAAGATCTTTGAAAACCACAATGAGGCACCACCTCATATCAGTCAGAATGGCCATCATAAACAAATCAACAAACAAACAAGTGTTGGAGGGTTTGTGGAGAAAAGGAAACCCTAGTGCACTGTTGGTGGGAATTCAGACAAGTGCAGTCACTGTGGAAAAAAGTGGAATTTCCTCAGAAAACTAAAAATGGAGCTGCCTTTTGACCCAGCAACTCCACTGCTGGGATTATACCCTAAGAATCCTGAAATACCAATTCAAAAGAACCTATGCACTCCAGTGCTCATAGAAACATTATTTACAATAGCCAAGTGCTGGAAACAGCCTAAGTGCCCATCAGTAAATGAGTGGATCAAAAAACAATGGTACATTTACACAATGTAATACTACACAGCAGAAAGAAAGAAGGAGCTCCTTCCTTTCAGGACAGCATGGATGGAACTGGAGAGCATTCTGCTAAGTGAAATAAGCCAGGCAGTGAAAGGCATACCTTATGATCTCACATATAACAGGAAAGTAATGAACAAAACAAATGAACCAGCAAAATAGAACTAGAGGCACGGAAACAAGGAACAGACTGACGGTGACCAGAGAGGTGTGGGGGGAGGGAGGTAATGGTGGAAAGAAGGGGAAGGGTCCAATCAAGGAACATGTTTAAGTGACCAATTGACACGGACAACAGGGTAGGGATTGACTGTGGGGGCATGGTGGGCAGGGCAGTGGAGAGCAACAGGGGGTTAAAATTGGGACAATTGTAATAGAACAACAGTAAAATAAAAAAAAAGGTAGATGTTGAGGGAGGGGAGGTGGGCATGGGCTAGGGTCCCATGGGGGCCAGCATGGAGTGGGTCAGTGAGGAAACATGACCTGTCCTGGACATAGTATTAGCAGTGGAGTGGCTGGAGAAGCCTGCAGTGTGGGGGGTTCTTGGTTAAAGATTCTAGAGTCATGGAGAAGAATGGGGGATGTTGAGAGCCCTGGCATGGGTGAGGGAACAAGGCCACTCTGTCACCACAGTAGTGCCAAGAACCATCTGGCTAGCAGCTGTTTCCTGCCAAGCTCCTGAGGGTGAGGTCAGGGTGTATGGTCATCCCAGGATATAAATAGAAGGGTCACCTTGTAGCAGAAGGCTCACTTTTGCTTACATGGGGAAATCTAGTACCTGCAGGACACTGCTGTCAGCCAGGAGATGCAGCACTGATGGGGCAGGTTGACAATGGCCCTCATCTCCATGCCCTCAGGGGACAGCAGAACACTGATCTCTGCCCACTGGGCAAGGAGTACCGCCGGCCCCTGGGTGCACCCTAAGGGCTCCACAGTTCTCAGGTTCTGGGGTTATCAGGGTCTCATGTGTGGCCCCCTCACCTTACTCTGTCTCCTTGGACCATCAGGACCTCCCTGTGAGGTCAGTCAAGCTCATGTCATACCACACAACAGGCAGGAGGATGGAGACTCAGGGGTGGAGGGGCCTACCAGAGGTCACAGCTGAGCCCAAGGGGGCCTCCCTGCCCCACAGCTCCCTGTGCAGGTGGACGTGCTCAGCCCGTCTCCAAAGCCCTTGTCGACAGCTCAGGGAGGGCATATGCTGCACCTCCATTTCTTTTGTAAATTGTGGCTAATCCTAAGATCCTCTCCTGGTGCTTATTGTGGGCATCATTCCAGGCACTGTTAGCAAGTCCTTATAACAAGGCAAGGTCACAAGGTTGTGGGGCTCCTAAACAGCACAGGTAACAAAAGTGCTGACCCCAAAGAGGAGTGTAAGAAGTAAGTTAGTTAGGGTATAGGGTGCTTAGATAGTGATGCACAGGGTTAGAGATTGTTTATTCTCTGTGGGTGGGTGGAGGGCAGGCCAGCATGCCAGCATGTGCCGGGCAAGGGATTCTAATCTTCCTGGAAGTGCAGCATGGGGCACCAGCTTCTACTCCGTGGGGAGCATAGAGCTGGGTGGGTGGGGGCCGGTTCTGTATGGGGCCAGTGTTTGGGTCAGCTCAGGGCAGCTGGGTAGGGTCCCTGCTCCAGCACCCATGGCTATGTCCCTGTGTCTGGCCCAATCTTAGCTATTCTTGGTGCAGGGTCTGAGCAGTTCTGGGTTCCCCCATGTTGCAGGCTGGGGATGGGACAGGACATGGTGCCAAGAACATGGGGTCTCCCAGGGACAGCTGGGGTGCCTTGAGTGCCCACAGAGGTGAAAAGCAAGCCTGAAAGGGCCAGAGTTGCCAGGGCTGAGCCTGTCTTTTGTCCCACCCACCAGGAAGCCTGAGAAGGGCATCCAGTACCTCATTGAGCGTGGCTTTGTGCCGGACACACCAGTGGGAGTAGCCCACTTCCTGTTGCAGCGCAAGGGCCTGAGCCGGCAGATGATTGGCGAGTTCCTGGGCAACAGGCAGAAGCAGTTCAACCGCGATGTGCTGGAGTGAGTTCTGGGGCTGGGGCTTGGGCCACATGGACACGTTCATGTGGCAGACTCCTTGATTTGTCAGGCTTGCCCTGCTTGCTGGGACATATAGCAAAACCTCCCCTTACCCTTATCTAGCTCCTAGACACCCCCACACCATTTTACACATACCTTGCCAGACATGTATGTGGGCATTCACCCTTGGGTGCCCCCCTGCACCCTTGGTACCACAACTCCTCTTCAGGCAGCTGAGCCACCCAGCACTCGGTGGGACAGAGGTGTGGGAGGTCAGGGCCTTGACATATGCCCTCTGACGGAGTGAGGGGAGCCAGCCCACAGAGACTCCAGCCTCTCCAAGAAAGGCAGCACCACACCCAGGTCGCTGCCTGTACCTCTCTCTCTTGCCTTTCCTGGATGGAAGATCAGGGGGTAAGAGTCTAACCCCTACCTCCTCACTCCACCCCCACCCCTAGCCCAGAGAGCCGGAGGCCAGGGCACTCAGCTACTTGGAATCCTGCAGAAAAATGGGTTTCCAGCTCCCAGGTAGCTACTGGCAATTTTGATAAGTATGCGCAGCATGTATCCTAAATCTCTCCTTTCCTCTTTCAGACTGTCCTGAGTAGAAAGGCATCTGCTTTGGACCCTTGTGTTTACTATGTTCAGGCCCTGTGTCCTTATCTCACCTGTGGGGGTGGGTGTCAGATATCAGTGACACCCTTTCACAAGTGAGGAGCCAAAGCCAGCAGAATGGGATGGCTCTATACGTGTCCTGCCCACCCTTTGCTGGGTCCTGAGGGATTTTCCCCATGCTTATTGTTGAGGATTTTTCTGACTCAGGCAGCTAGGAGTCGATATGGTGTCCTTGGACAGATCACCCAGAAACAGAAATCAGAGCCATGTAAAGAGCCAACCATGAGTAACAATGGCAGCGGCTTATATCTGTCCAGCCCCTGCCTCATCAAGGAAAAGGACAAGCAAGGGGCATGGCCACATGTGCACCTGCTACCTCTGATGCTTCCCTGGGGGAAGGTGGATGGGTGCTGTGGCCTCTGTTTCACAGATAAGGAAACCCAGGGTCAGAGGGGGAGGGACTGGCCTGGGTGCACCCTACACATACATGGACATACATATGCACATACTCATTCAATCACACACATGGACACATGGACACACAGATGCACACACAGGAAGTGCAGTGAGCCAGGGACTTTGGCCATGGCTGGTATGTGGCCAGTACCCACCAGAATGGAGTCTTGTGTCCTTTTTTAGCCAGATGTGCCCATCGGGGCAACTTTCTTCCTGCTCAGTGTTTCTGTCCCAGCCTCTTTGGGAAAGGCCTGCTGCCTTAGTAGTATGGTTAATGCCACTCTCTCCCCCTATCAAACCAGTGTGAGGAAATGGTTCAGGGAAAAGCAGATTAGCTCCTTAGTGAATTGGGCCTAAGACCAGTTTGGTCCAGCCCCCACTCCCCTATAGCCATTCCTGCACTCCCCTCTGTGCCCGCCTCCACACTGGCTTCTGGTCCGTAGGAAATCCGTGCATTGTTCCCCTTGGATCAGAAAATAGCAGTGGCCACAGGAAGTAGTAAGTTTCTTCCCTCCACACCAGCATCCTACTCAGGTGCTGGTCAGCAGATAGTACCATGTGGCCCCTGCCCCCTAACTTTCCCCACAAAGGCTGTTGCCCCAAGTGCTCGGAAAAGTATGGGGGACACAAACATCTTATCCTAAGACCATTGCCCCCAGTGAAGTTTGTGCTCTAGGAGTGGGATTAGATTCCCCCATTGCCAAGGCCTCTGCAGTCCCAGCAAGGGTGGACATGGCCTTATTACAGACATAAACCAGACACCAGTTTACGCTGTTTGGGTCCTTGGTGCAGACCTCTCTGTCTGTTCAGGAGTCCTGATCAGAAGACAAAGTAGGCTGTAAGGCGAGAGCCTGTCTCTGATAAGAACCGGAGGCCTCCCCAAGCTCCACTCCCCATTCTTCTGACTGGCAGACAAGAGGGTCTCAAAAACACTGGCCAAACCCAGCCACCTCTCCCCATATCCTTTATGTGGCAGGATTGGCTCTGTGTAAGATGGCTTATGGAGAGTTAGTACCCCAGTCTCCATTTCCTCCTTATGAAGATGGGAGTATGCTTCTCGTCTCTCTCACAGAACACGAGAAGATTCATGCATTAAGTCTGCTACATGCCTGGTATAACACACAGGCTTGAAAACGTTTGTTTCTGTATGAAGGGTCCTTATATGCTCTGGCTGCCTGTATATCTATAGAAAATTGCACACATAGACATAGGCACCAACATTGTCCTACAGTTTCAGGGCTTTATGGACCCCTCAGAAGCATAGGGATCTTTGGCCATAATCTCAATTGTCTGCTGATGGGAGAAGCTGAGCAGGTGTCCTCCCAGACCAGGGGCAGCACTGTCCCTATGGCCCCGAGGGCAGCTCCGTGGCTCTCCTGCACCACCCCTCTGTGCATCCTTTGCAAGCATGTGCCCACCCTATGGATGGGAAGGCAGCAGGGGCTGTGTGGGAAGAGGACTCTGATGTGGCCTTGTCTTGTTTCAGCTGCGTGGTGGACGAGATGGACTTCTCTGCCATGGAGCTGGACGAAGCCCTCAGGAAGTTCCAAGCACACATTCGGGTCCAGGGGGAGGCTCAGAAGGTGGAGCGGCTCATTGAGGCCTTCAGGTTGGGCCGTGGCAGGGCAGGGGGAGGGCGTCAGGGAAAGGAAGGTTCCTAGTTCAAGGGCAGAACTTTCCTATGCAGGATTAGGTGGCCCTGAACTCGCCTGGGAGGTGGGGTAGAAGCCTCTCCTGGGTGCCAGGCACTGTGCTGGTCAGTGCTAGAGCCAGGGTTTTTGAATTGTCTTTGTCTTCCTCCAAGTCCTCATGAGCCTCATCTATTCATGAGTCCATCTGTGTTTTCATTTGTTTGCCCTTTTACAGGGACAGCCAGTCTTTCATAGTGACTCAGAGCACAAGCTGCAGAGCCAGATGGCCTGATTCTAACACCCTACTCCACCACTTACCAGCACTGTGACCTTGTGCTTGTTAACCTCTCTGTGCCTCACATTCTTGCCTGTAGAGTAGGAATAACAAAAGCACTACCCTAGACAGGTTGGAAGGTTTAAACCACTTAGGACGTGTGGGCACACTTAGTCCAACACCTGGCACGACAGACAGCCTGCTTTGGAGGTCACTACACAGTCTTTCATCCTGGAACTCTGTGCACACTGTGGTGCGGGAGCCTCTGCTCCTTGCTGAGCACGATAGACACAGTCAACTGCTGATGAAGCACTTTGGGCTCACCATAAGTGGTGGGCCAAGGTGAAATGTGGACACAGGAGGAGGGCAGTCCTAGGGCCTTGGGTAGAGGGGATATTTAGCCACTTCCTTTCAGGAGGGCTTCTTGAAGGGGGTGGCCCTAATGGGGAAGACAGAATTGAAGCCTACATTGTCTGAGCAATGGTGGCTACTGCTTCAGAAACAATGCCCCACCTAGTTCCTCTTCTCTGTTTCTACCACTCTTACCATGCCTCCATGAGGTTACCAATGGAGAGGCCTCTTGGAGGTGGGGGCAGATAATATAATGTGGCTCCTGCCTCTCTAAGTTTCCCCACAAAGGCTATTGCCCCAAGGGGGTGTATTTGAGGCAGTGGGCTTCGGTACCTTAACAAGATTCCCCAGAAGCCGAGACTGAAACAAGATGGAAGTGCATCTCCGCCTTCACTGGTGTGGAGGCCAGGCTCTTTAACCTCAATCCAATACCCACCGTCACATTCCTGCTTTCTAAGGCACAGCCTTGAAGGGGCACATATCCCCTTGGCCATAACTTAATCACGTGCCTGTACCCATCATAGGGAGCCTAGGAAATGTGGTCTTCACCCTGAAAGCCATTGCCTACTGTTCAGGTGTGAGGGATAAAACTAAAGTGAGAAGGGGCGCGTGGATAGTCAGGACCCACTCTCTGCCAGGCAAGTGTTATCCCTTTTTACCAGGTGCAGAAGGTGAGGCTCCAAGGGCAGTGACCAGCCTCAGCTGTTTAGAGCTAGGCAGCCACTCATGAGTGATAGGCAAGACTCCCTCCCTTCCCTGACTGAGATAGCCCTGACCCTCTTCCATCTCCACGGCTCCCAGCCAGCGGTACTGCATCTGCAACCCTGGGGTGGTGCGACAGTTCCGGAACCCAGACACCATCTTCATCCTGGCCTTCGCCATCATCCTGCTCAACACAGATATGTATAGCCCCAACGTCAAGCCTGAGCGCAAGATGAAGCTGGAGGACTTCGTCAAGAACCTCCGAGGTGAGCTGTTCTGGCCCTAGGCTCAGATGCACAGCCTCCCATAAATGCCCTCTGAGCATGAGCGCCCAGCCATGTGTGGGGCTGAGAGGTGAATGCGACACAGCCTCATGCTGGGTACGTGGGAGAGCAAGGGGGCCTTGGCTTCAGCACCTGCAGTTCTTGCTCGGAGGGGCCTTTGAGGAGTATTGGTCCCAAGAACTGGCAGACACAGCACAAATTACTGTAAAGAACAAGTGCTTTCTTAGGGGTCCCCCTAGTAGGAGCACAGATTGGGTGACACATGCCTGGGTCTTAGGATGGAGGGAGCCTAACCCCTGGAGTAAGTGATGTTTTTAGCTTGTTGTTAGAGGATGCATAGGGGTTTGACAAGTTGAGGTGGAGGGGAGTTGATTATGAGGGGCAGAGGCTGGAGAGACCAGCTCATTGTAGTACCAGAGGGCCAGGCTAGACACAGGTCAAGCAAGTCCTGGTTAGGAGGACATACAGGAGAACAGAATGGAGTCTGGATGTTGAGAGTCCTGGAGCCTCCAGCAGGCGGCAGCCAAACAGACCAGCCAGCGCACCCCACCCCTGTCACTGCTGCACCCCTCACTGTGTCTGCCCAACCCATCCCTCCTTGACACTTAATGTTCTTCTCGAAACCACTTTGCCCTTTTGTTTTTGTCTTTTTATTTAAATATATGTATTTGAATGTATATTTTTGATTATGCTATTACCATTGTCCCACCCCCCCCATTCCCCTCTGCCCTGCACACCAACTCCCACCCACATTCCCCCTCTTTAGTCCCCCTCTCATGTCCATGGATCATACATGTAAGTTCTTTGGCTTTTACATTTCCTATACTACTCTTACCCTCCCCCTGTCTATCTTCTACCTACCATCTATGCTGCTTATTTCTGTATCTTTTCCCCCTCTCCCCCTCTCCCACTCCCCTGATGATAACCCTACATGTGATCTCCATTTCTGTGGTTCTGTTCCTGTTCTAGTTGTTTGCTTAGTTTAGCTGTGAGTTCTCATTTTACTGTTCATATTTTTTATCTTCTTTTTCTTAGATAAGTACCTTTAACATTTCATATATAAGGGCTTGGTGATGATGAACTCCTTTAACTTGACCTTATCTGGGAAGCACTTTATCTGCCCTTCCATTCTAAATGAAAGCTTTGCTGGATAGAGTCATCTTGGATGCCTTTCATGACTTGGAATACTTCTTTCCAGCCCCTTCTTGCCTGTAAGGTCTCTTTTGAGAAATCAGCTGACAGTCTGATGGGAACTCCTTTGTAGGTTACTGTCTCCTTTTCTCTTGCTGCTTTTAAGATTCTCTCCTTATCTTTAATCTTGGGTAATATAATTATGATGTGTCTTGGTGTGTTCCTCCTTGAGTCCAACTTCTTTGGGACTCTCTGAGCTTCCAGGACGTCCTGGAAGTCTATTTCCTTTGCCAGATTGGGGAAGTTCTCCTTCATTATTTTTTCAAATAAGTTTTCAATTTCTTGCTCTTCCTCTTCTCCTTCTGGCAGCCCTATGATTCAGATGTTGGAATGTTTAAAGGTGTCCTGGAGGTCCCTAAGTCTCTCCTCATTTTTTTTAACTCTTCTTTCTTCATTCAGTTCTGGTTAAATGTTTATTTCTTCCTTCTGCTCCAAACTGTTGATCTGAGTCCTGGTTTCCTTCCCATCACTGTTGGTTCCCTGTACATTTTGTTTTATTTCACTTCTCATAGCCTTCATTTTTTCCTCTAATTTGCAACCATATTCTACCAATTCTGTGAGCATCCTGATTACCAGTGTTTTGAACTGTGCATCTGATAGGTTGGCTGTCTCTTCATCGCTTAGTTGTATTTTCTCTGGAGCTTTGATCTGTTCTTTCATTTGGGCCATTTTTTTTTGTATTGGTGCACCTGTTATGTAGTAAGGGGTTGAGCCTTAGGTGTTCATCAGGGTGAGGCTACCCACTTTGATTCATTGTGATGCTATATGTGGGGGAAGAGTCAGAGAGGGAACAGTGACACTTGCTCCACTCTCTGCCAGTTTTCAGTCATTTCCCTTACTATCCACAATCAAATTGGGCACTTCTAGTGCTGATTCCTGGGTTGGTGGTTTGTGTATGTTCTAGTACCCTGTGGGTCTCTCCAATGAACTCTTCTGTGAGGCTGGGAGTTTCTCCAACTGCCATGTCAACCCCCACAGCTGTTTTCAGTCAGAGGCTTCGAGGCTTTATTTCCCCGAGCTGGAACCCTGGGTTTCAAGGTCTATCACGCTACCCAGTTGTTCCTTCTGGTTTATCTGCACGCGAATATGAGAATGCCCAGTCCTCAAGCTGCTGCCTTCCCTGCCCCAGTCCTCCAGCCACTGCCTCGCTGGGAGTCCTCTCCACCCAGCTGCCCATCTCCACTCCTCCTACCAGTCTGGATGAAGGTTTCTTTAGTTCCATGGTTGTCAGACTTTCATACAGTTTGATTTTCTGTCAGCTCTGGTTGTCTTTTTTTTTTTTTAATTTGTTGTTGTCCTTCTTTTGGTTGTGCGAGGAGGCACAGTGTGTCTACCTACACCTCCATCTTGGCTGGAAGTCCTAAATATATCTTTAAAAGGAGCCTTATATCATCATAAATGGGAAACCGGTAGCATTTGCCATACATAGGCAGTCATTATAAAATGCATACAATGAAAAGAAAGTACCGCTGCTGATTCCAGCAGGAGCTGTTTCTGGCTAGGCCCTGAGGCTGAGGCTGCCCTTCCATCCTTGGCAGGTGGCTCCATGTTAGACAGGTGCTGATGAGGTAGGCAGAAAGAGGGGGGCCTTCTCCTGGCATCAGATAGGGAAGGAATCGAAATGGGAACAGCTGTTTTCCAGGTGACTCCATGTTAGCCGTTGGCATGTGCCTTTTGTAGCTGGAGTCCTGGAAGGAAGGGGAGAAGGAACTGTATCCCTCTCCTTGGGAAATACCAGCTATAGCGGACTGAGGTCCCCTTAGAAATGGTATCATTGTTAAAAATTGTATTTAATTTTTTTTCACATAAAAGTTCTTAGTTTATTAATCCTCTCATGAAAATCTGTACAATTACCACAGAGAAGGTCACTGAAGAATCTTTACTCCTTTTGTTGTCTAATCTCTAGCTCACTTTTTGCAGCACCACCATTGGTCTCTGCAGTTTCACCAACTCTCTTCATTCTGCTCCTGCATTCCTCTTGGTATTTTCTTGAGGTCTTTTTCTCCTATAGGCCATGTCTTTCAAGTCTGTGTCTAGGTTCATTTTTCTTTGTATAATCTTGCCAAAGCCAAGATTAGTCTTGGCTTTGTATAGTTTTTGTATAGTCTTGCCACCACCAAGATGGGTTCTGAATCCAAATACGCAGATGACATCTGGTGTGATGTCATATATTTTGGCTACTTTTTCCTGAATTTCTGTCCTTCCCAGGATGAAGGATGTCAATGATCATTTGTTTCCGCTGAAGCAGTCTGTTAGTCGTGAACTTCCTGGTCTGGATAGTTACTGTGCCGTTCATGATGGTGGCTGATCTTCAAGCAGCCAGGGAGGAGGTATCATATTTTTTTTAAAAGTGAAAAAAGGCTGGTATAAATCAAATCCATTGGTGAGCTTGTTGAGCAATTTAAAATTTCTACTCTTCTTTATTTTTGTAATAAAGGCTGTTCTGTCACCTCTCCTGGGATTTGAACCATTCTAGCATATCCCCTGGTGGTGGGCACTGCCATAACAGGAAGGCTAGAGAGAATAGAAACCACCAGGAGATGGTGGGATCACCCCCTTCCCTAGCTTGACTGGCCCCTGAGGGGACACAGAAGCTTAGTTCAGAGCACTCAGATAGTCATTCCCTACACGGAGCATGTACTGTGTGAGGGCTGCTGCTAGGTCTGAAGAGCTTTGTAAGCCCCTCCCCATAAGCCTTTCCAACAGAGCATGTTCTCAAACCTCTGAACTTGTGCCAGTCTACTGTCTGAGGATGGATGTGGGTTTGTGTTTCTTTTGTGAGTAGGGCTGAGTTTCTTTTCTCACAGCAATTTTCAGGTGGTGCAGCAGAAGGTATGCACTTGTTATCAGAGCAATCTGGGTTCGAGTCCTGGCCCCCTCAGTTACTGCCCGTGGGGCAACAGCTGGCAAACTGTTTAGATGTACTGAGCTCTCACTTTGTGGGACATACCATGAGCTGCTCACACTTCCTCACAACAGCCCTCTGAAGTCACCTGTGCTCTTGATGGCCTGTTTCACAGATGCCCAGCTCAGAAACACTGGGTCACAAGGCTAACAAGAGGTGAAGTGAGGACTTGGGCCCAGTTTTGGAGCCTGAACTTACAAATCCTAGCTATATAGCCTCCCCTCACCTCAACCCCAACCCATTCCCTGGTCCTTGGCTTTCTCGTCTGTGGAATGGGGCAGTATGCCCACCCCATGGAACTGTGGATCAGCAAGGTAATATTTATAAAGCCATCTGAGCAGCCCCCCTATGCTTGGTTAGGTAGCTGTGCTGGCCTTGTCCCTGATGGAAGGACTCTGAGGAATTTATGATTGACCGAGGATGTTTAATAGCTGTGGGTCTGGGAGGTCTGTGGTTCTACTGGGAGTGGTAAAAAGGGTCAGTATTCTGATTTGGTTTAGAAACTGGTAAATCAGAGTATGCCTGGCGTCCAAGGCTAACTGAGCCACCCAGGCCCCAGCCCAACTGATGTCTGACCACTGTCTCCGGCACAGGTGTAGATGATGGTGAGGACATTCCCCGGGAGATGCTGATCGGTATCTACGAGCGGATCCGCAAGCGGGAGCTAAAAACCAATGAGGACCACGTGTCCCAGGTGCAGAAGGTGGAGAAGCTCATTGTGGGGAAGAAGCCGGTATGTGGTGGCCCTGTGTCCCAGAAGAGCTGCTAGGGGGGACCTGAGGCGCTCACATCCCCCTTCCCGCCAAGGCTACCTGCTGGCCTCAGCTGTTGCCAGTGGCCCAGGTGCCCCTTCTGGGCAAGGCTGGTTATTTCTTTCAGGGTTTGGGTTTCTTTAAGTGGCTTCTAATATTTGGGAATAACAACCATTTACTCAGGGTTAAAGTGGAAGAGAATCTGAGGCTCTTATTAAACCGATGGGCAGGGTTGTACAGTTCCTTTGTGACTTGGGAATACCCTCAGAGCCTACCAGTGAGAGGGCCTCCCCAACCTCTCCCCCTGGTGTAGCTGGTAGAGCTAAGGGAAAGTGCCTTAAGAGGATTGCATGGCTTATTAATTTACTCAGGGCCCAGCTATATCTTTTGGAATATTGATGTCTTTTTTTCTTTGCTATTTCCCCATGTAGATTGGATCCCTGCATCATGGGCTTGGCTGTGTAAGTATCCCTCTCCTTTCCCATTCTGGCTTGTATCCCACCCTGAGGGTGCCCAGTACGGGCACATCTCCCTGCCCCTAGATCCACAGTTCTGGCTGCTTGAGTTAATTTCTGGAGCAATAAGAAATTTGATTTGCATAATTAAACCAGCCCAGCCTCAAATCTCTGCAAGTCTAGAGATTACAGCCACACAGGAAGGGCTGTGCTATCAGGCTGAGAGCAGATACTCCCCTTTGCTCTCTTCTGGGCCCCATTGAGCTCAGAGACCAAGGCTTGTCCCCAGACCCTGAGACACTGTACCTGAAACGGATGACATTGGTGTGCACTGGAGGGCCTTCTCTTTCTCTGCCCTGCCCAGGCTTTGCCCCCAACCACATGCTCCTACATGAGGATCCTCTCTGCTGCCACAGCCTTGAGGAAGTTGCCTGCATGTCCCTGCATGTGGAGCACGCATGTATACTGCTAGCCTTGCAGTCCCGTGACACATTCCTCCTGTACGTCTTTGCCCCTCGCTGGTCAGCCAAGTCAGCGTCACAAAACCCTCTGACCACCTTCTACTTCTCAGTTTCCCTACAGAGAGACCAACACTCCTGGATGCTTTTTTGGCCTGCCCTCATCCACCTCTCTAGCCCCACATCCCACCATCCTCTTTCCTTTGTACTTCTACTCCAGACAACACTGTCCCCTGAGTGTGCCAGGCTGGGCCACACATTCGTCCCCCTTAGCTTATCTTTCTGATGTGCTGAGCTCAGACACCCCTCTACCAGGGTGCCCCTTGCAGGGTGCCCCTTGCATAGTCCCCCCTGCCTGCGAACATGTTACCCTCTGAGGGTTTTTTCTGGGGATGTGCCATCTCCTCACTAACTTTTCTGTCTCCTGCAGGATGTGGGGTGCTATTAGAGCCACAACTGGGCCTCCGTGATGGTTTGTCATACCAGGCCTTGATAGCAGCTTGGACTGTGGCAAGGCTGGGGGGTCTTTGAACCTGTGGCAAGTGTGTTCAGAGACAAGTGTGCATAGCAAAGGGTCAGACCAGGCCCCTCAGAGTGGTGACTGAGGGCTCAAGAGTTTGGATAGGGTCTCTCAGGCTTCAGAATGTTAAAGTCCTTTAGGAGGGGCCTGGGAGAGTGGGAAAACTCTGAGAGTCTGCAGAGTTCCTGGTTGTGTGGTTGAGAAAACTTGCTCAATCTCTCTGTGCCTCAGCTTCCTCATCTAGAGTAGATTCTCTAGAAAAATGTTTGCAGGGACTAATGGGGGCTTTGTGGGGACTGAGGAAACATGGATTTCCCTATGGCTGGGGGCTTACATGTGAGTGTGGTCCTCCCAGAAACCTGGTACTTGCCTAAAAGAATCAAATAAGTCTCACCAGAAGTGGGGCACTAACCATGGTCTGACAGGGCAAAGTAGGAAAATGGCCACAAGCCAAAAAACGTGGTCCACTCTGCATGGTTTGTAAGAAAAGGTGGTTTTGAACACAAGGCCCAATGGCTAGGTAACTCGCACTCATGCTAGACTCCTGTGCTGCCCAGGCCCCAGAGCTGGGCAGGCTGCTGACGGCAGTGTTTCCCCTCCCCACACAGGTTCTCTCTCTGCCTCACCGGCGGCTGGTCTGCTACTGCCGGCTCTTCGAGGTTCCAGACCCAAATAAGCCCCAGAAACTTGGACTGCACCAGCGAGAAATCTTCCTGTTTAATGACCTCCTGGTGGTATGTGGTTCCCCCATGGCATTTGTGGCCGACACCTGCTGCACAGGGACATCTGGCTCTGTGCCCGCATGTGGGAAGATGCCCACAGGGTGTGGGGTGGAGGTGAGGGGGTGGAATTAGCCCATCTCTTTGGGTCACCAGGGGCAGAATCTAACACAAACTGCTACCATTGAAAATGGGGCTTCATTGGCTTACGTAAAAGTCCAGAAGGGATTTTGGAGCCTCATCCTTAGCTGTTTTAGAAGCTAAGACATGTCAGCAGGACTCCTTTGAGTAATCTCCATCTCTCAGCTTTGTAGGCTTCTCCTCTGTGTGGGCTACCTTCTCAGGTAGGCTCTGTGCAAGAAGGGAAGTCAGCCTCGGCAGCTCCAGGCTTAATGCTGTCTCCTTGGCCACCAGTGGGATTCTCTTCCTAAGAATCCCAGCAAAGGTCTTACATCCTGTGCCCGAGCCTGAGCTAGTCATGGGGTCAGACAGGTGTGGTGCTGTCTCAGTGGCTAAGCCTGGGTCACAGTCCCCAGGACTAATGGACTGAAGGAGGTAGGGGGGTGGTTCCTAAAGGGAGATTGAGGCATGCTTGCCCTCCAAAAAGGCAGCATGGATGGGAGCCAGTGGGGATAAAGATGCCCTTGCAGAGAGCAGGGGGAACCTGTTCTCAGGTCTCTGTCCCATTGTGTGCCACAGACTTCCTTGCTGGAGGTCCATGTCCCTAGACCCTACCTGCTTAAGGATCGGCTGCACTTGTATGATTCCTGAGGTGGACATCCAGATGTGTGGGCTCAAGTTCTTTATTAAGCATCCCTGACCTTGAGCAAGTCACTTCAAACCTCTGAATCTCTGTTTCCCTTGTAAAATTAGTCTCTGAGAGTTACAGTGGTCAGATAGGGTCCTGGACATAAGACCCTTACATGATGTCTTCAGTGCCACATGAGGTAACATGCCTGCCGCCTCTTCTGGGTTGAGGGGCTTTTTGGCCAGCCAGGATGGCACCAGGGTCTCACAGACACAGAAAGCAGTGTCCACTTCAGGGTATGAATGGATGTGCCTTCCTCCCCATGTCAGTTCTTTCCTGCCACAGGGGCCTTCAGACTTCTGAACTGCAGAATAATTCTTACAGGAGAACATGGTCACCATCAGATACATTTTCAATCTTGAGCTCCCAGAGCTACTCCAGGGCAGGACAGATGATGTAGCTTAGCCTCTGTGTCTGGCTGCCCCCAGGTTACCAAGATCTTTCAGAAGAAGAAGAACTCGGTGACATACAACTTCCGACAATCCTTCTCCCTCTACGGCATGCAGGTCCTGCTCTTCGAGAACCAGTGTAAGTCTGTGCTAGGGCCCTTCCTCAGCCTGGTTGTGTGTGTGTGTGTGTGTGCTGGGCACTTGCCCACACATGGCCATGACCTGTCACACAACTCTAAGTTCATAGTCAGAAAGCACTCCTCTTTCCATTTTCTGTCCTTTCTTCCTGTGCCATCAAGGACAGAGGCCCAGGGTAGCTTCTCCAGTGCTCACTGATAAGCAGCAGAGATAAGAAAGAATTTAATAACATTATACATAGTGCTCATTGGGTTTCCTCTTACTGTTACTTCTTACAGGTGATATTTTAATTTAGGGCAGAGTGAATTTATTTAAATAAAATGTTAATAGGAAAACATGAAGTAAATGGCATAAATGATATGCACATGTGAACAAACAGGTAATACAGGAATGCACAGGTCCAGGACTAAGTCCTGGAGCTGATAGCCAGTGTTCAAATCCCAGCTCTTATGGTTAGCAGCTATGTGGCCTGACTGCTTAACCTCTCTGAGCTGTTTTTCCTTTGTAAAATGGGATGGTGCCAGTGCCCACATCGTAGGATTGCATACATGTGAAACACTCCTGACACAGAGGAAGTACTCAGTCAGGGTATATTCTGAAGTGCAACTGGAAGGCCTTCTTTGGGTGTAAGTAGATCACAGGGGCCTCGGGTAGTCTGGCTCAGTTACATTATATTTAGTTTATATACTTTTAAAAATTTGTTGAGTTGATATTTAAATCTTCACATTAATATTTTTGGTTTCTCGTGAAAAACGAGAAATATTGGCATCCCTGGGCCCGCACTCCTGAGCGGCAGGGGTCCTGAGCTGCACACTCCATCCCCAGCACTCTCCTTTGCTCTCAGTCTCACCTGCATTCAGAAGAATCTCTTGGGCTTATAAGTGTTTAAGTTTTCAGCCTTGACATGGGTCAAAGGTGAGATTGGTGTTTGCGTCAAGATACCTCAAACACTCAGTAATTAATGTTTGATTTCCACTGACGGGAGAGGTGCTTCCAAGAGACCAATGACCTAGAGAACCCTTGAGCTTGACAGTGGCACGAGGCAGGTCCGAGTAGAAAGACGCTGCACTCAGCATAGTGCACTAGGTGTGGGGGCACCCACAGTGTACCCCAAGGTTGCTGAGGTTCTAGAGGCCATTTGGGAGAGAACAGAGCTCAATCTAGTCTCAGAATTATCTGAGGTGACTGTGTAAGACACTCCATCTAGCGTAGGATGCTGCCTGTGTCTCTGCCTGGACTCAGTGTCTGGCCACTAACTCCTAGAGGCCAAGGAACTGGAAATGAAGGACCTGGGTTCCATGACCTTCAGGTTGGAGAAGAAGAGAGCCCTGGCTTCCTCTCAAGATGAGCCAAATCTTCCCCTGACTTTATATCAAGCAATATGGGCCCAAGTTAGCAGATGGAGGTTGTCTGGTGGTTCTACCAGGCTGCACTACAGAAGCCTTTTTTCTCCATCAGACATGTCTGCTGAAAGCCTGCACTCTAACCATTTCTCTCATACCCATCCTGAATTCAGACTTACTAGCATTTTCTTGACCAGAAGGAAGATAACAGAGAATGCAAGGGCCTATTTGTTCTCTTCTCCTTTGCAGACTACCCCAATGGCATCCGGCTCACATCTGCAGTCCCTGGAGCAGACATAAAAGTGTTAATAAATTTTAATGCTCCCAATCCTCAAGACCGGAAGAAATTCAGCGATGACCTGCGGGAATCTATTGCAGAGGTGCAGGAGATGGAGAAGCACAGGATAGAGTGTAAGTTGTAAACCTCCTGGGGAGGAAGAGCCAGCAACCTCAGCATCTTTTAGGACTCACTGGACACAGGCATTGGCTCCTCTGTGGTGGCAGTGACTGAGCCCACAGAAATGAGATACCCCAGTCTTTTCTGGCCTTCTCATGTCCATGTGACTGGCAGCCCACATGACCAGGCCACAGAAGGTGGCACAGAGGAAGGTGGGGGTGGCAGAGGCTTCCTGGTGAAGCCAGGGCTTCAGAGGCCCAGGACTGTCCTGACTGGGGAGAGCCCCCTGGTTCCTGGTTACCCCATGAGACGAGAGCTCCCAGAGTTCTGAAGCTGAGCTCTTTGCATTTCACTGTAGTTGCTGTTTAGTCATTTTCTGCATCAGGGCACAGAAGACTGATGAGGTCACAGCCATGCCCATCACCTGGGTTCTTTTAGAGTTGGTTACAACCCCTGCTTCTCCTGGCTCCAAGCCTCACTCCCTGGAGGCTCACGTGTGCCTATGTCTCGCCCTTCCACAAAAGGCCAATCAACACTTAGCTTATCTCCAGACCTAGTAACTCTCTCTCTCCTTGTTGATCCTCACCCTGGAAAGTGACTATCCTTCATGCAGGCCACAAGGCATTTTGGCCTCTCCAATGTCCCTTCTAGAGTCTGGTTTTGTCTTCCTTTCATTGAAGGTAGCCACACTTCTTTCCCAACACAACACCTGCCCCCTTACTTTTTCCCCATTTCAGGTCGACAGAGACTTGGTCACAGTGCCAACGCTGAACAGAGGGCAGTGGTCCTCTTTATTTCCTCCTGGTGGGGGGGTCCTAGCCCTGCCCTGCTCCCAACCTTGTTCTCCCCAGGCTATGCTCCTCTCACTGGACCATTGCTCCTCTATTTCAGCGGAGCTCGAGAAACAGAAGGGTGTTGTGCGGCCCAGCATGTCCCAGTGCTCCAGCCTCAAAAAGGAGTCAGGCAATGGGACGCTTAACCGGGCCTGCCTGGACGACAGCTATGCCAGCAGCGAGGGCCTCAAGCGCAGTGCCCTCAGCAGCTCCCTGAGGGACCTTTCAGAAGCTGGTAAGAGCTGAGCCTAGGACTCAGACCGGGCACACCAGTGGTTGGGGCATGCATTGCGCACCAGGAAGGCACTGCAGTATGGCTGGTGGTGGAGGGCTCAGTTGCGCACCACTGATTTTCCGATGATCATCCCCAAACCATAGCAGCATAACAGCACACTGAGAGGATGTCACCAAAAGGCAAAAACACCAAAGCAAAACAAAACAAAACCCAGGGCCAAATTGTCAAAGGCAGAAAAGCAAGGAAGTTTCCTCCATTCTCCCTTTCTTGTTTCAGGGTTTTATTTATTTATTTTATTTATTTTCTGAAAATGGTTCTCACACAAAGAGTAAGCCAGGCCCGCTGATGGATGTGTCCTGTGTCCTCTGTGCTGCCATGCCCCTGTGTTTTATGCTGATGAATGAAATGGAGTACAGCTCTCTAAACTGTCTGAAAACGCCCTCTCCTGCTGTCCCTGGTCTTGCTTTCTCCCCAGAGGTCTCCCTTCTGGGCCTCTATCCAGCCCAGAAGCAGCTGCCATAGCTGGCCCTGGGAATCAGGGGAAAGCCCTGGTGGAAACTGTGATATTTGTTGTTCTCTGTTTCTGTGTGTGTTTAATTTGCTGCCAGCCTCTTAACCCCTAAGCAAGCAGCACCTCTCAAGCCTCCCAGCTTTCCTAGAGTACGGGTATGGGGTATCAGGGAGCAGGGAATATCAGGGAACAGGGAGCTTCTGCTGGCAGAGCCCGTACATGGCCTGGTCCTCATGGCTGGGGCAGGTGAAGCAGAGAGTTATGGGAGCAGACCCCCGCTAACTGCCTGTGAGTGCTACTCCAACCTAGTTTGCCTGCTGCCCTATCCGAGGCGCTGTGGAGTGAAGGGGTATACCCTGGCAGTGTCCTTAGCCTCCCGCTAGTCATATCTAACCAGTCAGCTTCTCCTGGGAGGAGGCTCAGGGTCTGCAGTGCAGTGGGGGTTGCAGGGCACTGCACAGTGGGCATGGGGCTATGCCCAGCACTGTAGGATCCTGGGACCCCGGGCTCTACCTGCCCTGAGGCCCCAGGTATCCTAGTCCCAGGACCCCCCGCTTTGTTGGGGAAGACCCGCAGGCTGAGGTCAGCTTCCTCTTCTCCAGAAGACCAGTGGCCCTGCCCCTTCTAGGGGCTGGCCCACCCACCCTGCCTCAGGCATCACCAAGTGGCCAGATGCTGGCCCCCATGTGAGAGCCTGCTCATGATGCCATCTGGTACCTGCCCTGCCAGCAGCTCACCTCCCTTTGTTTGGCTTATTCATTTCTCAGAACTTTTTTCTTTACTTCTTTTTTGGTTTCTTTTTTTTTAGTTGGATTTTTTTCCTTTGCTTTTGTCTTGTCACTTTTTTTTTCCCATAGTGAAAATCAGAAATCCATTGCCAGCATGAGGGTTAACCCAGGGCTTCTCAACCCCATCCCTGTTGGCATTTTTTGCCTGATAATTCCTTGCTATGGTGACAGTGCTGCGGAAGAGGTTTAACAGCATCCCTGGCCTCTACTTCCCAGTCATAACAATTAGTAATGTCTCCAGAAATTGCCAGGTGTTCTCTGCAGTGCAAAATCACCCCTGGTCAAGAACCACTGGTTTTCCCTGTGGCTTCTGAACCCAGCTAAATGTAACTGGACTACCGTGGGCCTCCAGGCTGGGGGCCTGAAGCTTGTGTTTGAGTTTGTGCAGTAGAGCAGGCTCTGGCCTCTGTTCCTTGGAGGGCCAGAGGACCCTGTCCAGCTGCCTCAGGTAGCAGTGGCTCTGTTCAAACTGAGGTTCTTAGCATGTCCAGACACATTCACTTCTGTCCAGGTGATGAGTATGTCCACCTCTCCCAGAGCTTAGAGCTTAGAGGTCAGACAGAGCCACATGCCCAGACATACGGTCATGGGAGGGATGGAGCTCCAAAATTTGGCTGATTTTCATTTATTGTTACTCTTGCTACTCTCATTTAGGGATTCTGAGCTGAGAAAGAGTCTAGGGATTGTGTCTTCTCAGAGACTGAAGCTACAATGAAACAAATTCCCAGGAAAGAAAGTGCCCTGACCCCAGGAAGGTTGGAAGGTGAGGTGAGGTGAAGTGGGTGTTTGAGTTCTGGCAGCCACCAGGGCCCCAGACTAGGAGCAGGCCACCTGTGACTTCCAGAAGGAGACAGGCCAATGCCAGCAGCCTTCCAGAAGATGCTGGGCTCAGCCACCAGAGATGTGGAATTGTGTGCTCTGCACTAGGCCGGGGCATAGTTCTCCAGATGCAGCATCCTCCCACCCATCGTGGCCTTCACTGAGATGACCTTGTCGAAAAGAGGCAAGGCCTTGGGCAGTCTGTCCCCTCAGGAAACCCAACACTTAGTGGTTGGCAAGTCCAACCACTTGTCTAAGAACAGCTGCCCCAGACCTGCACTTACATAGCTATCTAGGAGACAGCCTACCAGGAATATGGCCTCAGCCCTTTATGGGGCCTAAGAGACAGTCTTGGTTTGATGGCCCAGAACTGGCAGCAGATGCCTCCAGGAGCCCCTGATATTCTGAGAGGTAGGCAGAGGGGCCTGGGCTCCAGCCCAAGATCCCCACTAAGCTATGAGGCATTCACCCCATGTCCCTCCACGTGGTCTTCCTTCAGTCAAGGTCCTCTGTGCATTTCAGTGGCACCAGAGCCCTGCTGGCTTGCAATCAAGGATTGGCAAGGACCTTGAACACAGTGTAAATAGGCCTTAACCCTTCCCCCAGATCAGTTAGGTCATGGTGGACACTGTCTGTGGGTCCCTGAGGTCCTTCTGCCCCTTTCCTGCCGAGCTGCTCAATACCAGTCTCCATGGAGACATAGGACCTGCCTGCACCCATCATCACTCCAGGAGCAGAGCTGGAGACCTGCCGTGTCCTGCACCAGGGCAGTCCTATCTGGGGAGACTTGGCAGCTCCTGGTGGCCAGTTTCCAAAGCAGCACCTGCTGCCCCAAGAGGGGCACCCTGCACACAAATGGCCTGTAGTGCCTCTCCTGGGACAGGGCTGTGCTCAGGGGTGCGCTTGGGATGGCCACCCAGAGGCCAGCAGAGGGCACACAGCACACTGATTTCAGAGTCACACTGATAAGATCTTTTCTCCCCTCCACCCGCCTTCTGTTGCTTATTAGCTATCAGGCCCGGGCCAAATAATATCTTTGGGTTTTAGTTTCCCTCTAACTTAACTTCCCTAGTACTTCCCTCTAAGCATCTCTGTGACACAGCTGATGCATGCCAAGCATTTAGAACAGAGCCTGGCACAGTGTGTGGCTGTTGTCACTGAGCAAGTGCACTTGCGTAGCCTCCAGCATTGCTAAGGTCGCAGGGCCAACCCTCTAGGCAGAGAGCTCACATTCTGTCATGACTCTAAGAGTCAGGGGAAAGCTCTGAACAGCCATGGTGGGAACCCCTTCCAGACATAATTTCTGATCAGGCTGGTTCTAAGAGAGGTGCTGGCTGGGGAGGGGTTCACCTGAAGCTAGTGCAGGGTCTAGGGAAGGTTATCTGGAAAAAGTGCAGATGAGGGGTGGTGTGGTTATGTGGATCTGAGACTCTGTTCTGGAATGCTTTGCCTCTATTAATGGTGTGTATGTGTGTACACATCTGGACACAGGTGTGTAGTGGGCAGTTGGCTGTGGGTGTGCCTGTGAGTGGGGCTCTGGGACTGGAGTCCAGAGAGCTGCTGTAGGGACACCCCATATCTCATGCTGATCTGAGAAGTGGAAAAGGTGAGCTCTAAGAAATGTAACATGGCTCAAAGATATCCAAGTTAAAGCTCTCCTAAGTCTTGACCCACATTGGGTAGGGGGAGGAGAGCCTTGAGAAGGTCACTCGTCTTCTCACACCAGCTGGAAGATGAGGAAATGTGACCATCATCTTTCTTCTGGCTGGGATTAAGGGTTTTTCCTGGTCCTCAGGAACTGGTGGAAAACACTCTTGTCCTCATCCATTGTGTGACCCTGTCCTGAGTGGGTTCTGAGGCCCTCTCACAGATGCCAAAGTCCAGCAAGGCATTCTGTAGACCTCAGGCTTCCAGTTGAAACTCAGGCTGGGGAAGGAGTGGAGGGTCAGCACTCAAGGCAAAGGGACTGGACCTTACCTGAGCCTGCTATTGTCTGCCTAGGACTGAAGCCTTGGCCTGGGCATGACCCAGCATGCTCAGGTGCTGCTGTGAGGCCCAAAGACCCACAGGCACACCCTCTCCACAGAGGTGCAGACCACAGAGAGGCATATGGCAATCTGTCCCACCTTGCTGGCTCCTGGGCCTGGCCTGGGTCCAGCTCAGAAGGCAGCTTGGCCAAGATTTCCAGCCTCAGGTGGGCAGGCAGACCTGGGAGTGAACCCTGCTCACTATGGGAATTGAGCTGGTCAGGCCATCAGCCAAATCAGCCTCCATTTCCTCCTCCTTGGCATGGACAGAGTGACACCTGTCCTGCATTGTTAGGGGCTTGAGCAGGAACCAGCATGGTGCTCAACTCATGCCCAGGGCTGCACAGATGGAAGCCTAGAAAATGTCAAGTGGGAGGCCCCTTCTCTGTGACCCCTACCCATCTGCATTCCCAGAGACGAGACGGAGGCTGGGCCTCTAAGCTTATGCACCACTGTTCCCACTGGCCTGGATGTCCTGCAGGAACCCATGAAGAAGTCCTCAGAGGGAATCTGCAGGCCAGGCCAGGCACTGGACATCCAGAACCAAGAGGAAAACAGCTTTCCTTTAATATGGCCGACACATATGGAGTGCCCACCACATTCCATGCTCTGGGGACATAAAAAAGGCATTGGCAGTGAGCGCCAAGGGAATGCTAATGGCATCCTGGGGGTGGTACCCACAGAAGGGAGCGGGACTCCAGGTCCCTCTTAGCAGCCTCTGACCCTATCTCCTGCCCCTGGCCAGGGCCCTGCACAAACCAAACACGCCTGGAGGCACCAGCTCTTTTAACCTACCCAAGAGGAAAAGGATGTCTAGTTTAGTTTTCTCCTAACCATGATTCTCACCCTGCCTGGAGGACGGGGATATATATGTATGTATATGTATATGCAGATACATACTATACATACATGAAATCCACTGAAAGTCAAGCCCGTGGGCCACATTTTATTTGTTTTTAGCCATTGGAGAAGTTATCTTATCCTGTCGCCTCAGCAGCTGGCCTGGGCCACCTTGAGCCATGGGGCTTTGGGCCCCACCTGTGTACCTGCCTTAGCCTGCCCTGAGGCCCCTCCCTACAGATTGCTGATCCAGGAGAAGGGGCTGGTTGAAAACTAATTTTACTTTTATTTGTTTAACGCCCCCCTTTTTTTATTAACTAGTTTCCGCCCTGCCACCAGCTTCCCCCCTAAGCCCCTCCTCCTACCCTGACATGCATCAGGTGGGCCCCATACCTGAGCCTGGTGGTGGTGGCAGCGGCACAGTGCCCTGGCCTCATGTCCGCGTCTAACCTCTGGTATTGCATGTTCTGGGCAGGGAAGCGAGGGCGTCGCAGCAGTGCGGGATCGCTAGAGAGCACTGTGGAAGTAAGTAGGAAGCACCTACGTTCAGCTGGCTGTCGTGTGTTGCCTCCCCAATCCTGGGTTTATACCTGTTGTCTTTTGTGTGTGTGTGCTTTCCCTACTGCACAGAGGTGCAAACACACCCCCACCCCCAATGCCTGCCTCAGCCCAGTGCATGCCAGAATCCCTTCTGCCTAGAATCTCACTGCTTGTTTGGGCTGGAATGGTGGGGGCTGGTTCTGATTTTATTTTTTTTAGTTCCCACTTAACCCCTGTCCCCTGTGGCCTCCCAGCATGATTAACACCCCCCCTTACCCCCCGGCTTCTGGGCACTTCCTCGTCTCCACCCACCAACCAGCATTGCTTCTGGGCAGAAGCAACAGCTACGGAGCACCCCTGCAACCTCCCCCTTTGCCAGTCTCCTGACTTCCATGCTCCACCATCCCCATTGCTTCCTTCCTGGAGTTTCACTTGCTGTGTGTCTGCAGGTAGGGTACCATGGACTTGCTTAGCTAGCTTGGGGGAGCAGGAGAGCCATGACAGAAAGAAAAACAGTGTGGATTTCATGAGATTTCATTCATCCTCCAGCCATCTCTATATTACTGTTCACATCTTAACCTCGGCTTGCAGGCCTTTTTGTTTCTTTCTTTTTCCTTATTTGGTTTGCAGTAGACAGCTGCAGTGAAATGCCTAGGCAGTCCCCAGCCCAGGACAAGATTTCCCAAGCCTCTCCTGTCCCTTGACCACCTTCTCAGAAACCCTGGGTTCCACACAGATAGAGCAAATGCTCTTGGATCCTTTGAGAGGACTCAGGAGAGCTGAGGGTGAGATTTCGGCAGGAACAGGGTTCCTCTTCACGCACACCAGCCTGCCCCACTCCCCTCGCACACGCTGCTCACAGACACCCCCAAACAAATTGTTTTGATCTGAAAGCTCAGGCCACCTGTCGTGACAGGGTGCTTGTCAGGCTGAGAGCCCAAACTTGTGCTGCTGCTGTGGTTGACTAGACAGGAGGTTCCCTCCTCTCTTGCCCAACTCCTACCTTTCTCACTGGAAGGCCACTTCTCACCCCCCAGCTGACCTGCCATGGTAGTGTAAGAAGTGGCACCAGAGTCCAGCCTCACCCAGCCCCGCCCTCTGTGGCCAGTGAGTTGAACTAAGGCTTAGCAGTCAGTGGGTGAACTTTTTACATTAAAAAAGTTTCATTCTGACATAAGTGCTTTAAGATTGTGCTTTAAGATAAGTGCTTTAATTTTGATTTCTATGAATTTCCTTTTTAGGGGTCCATCATTAGCAGCCCTCACATGCGCCGGAGAGCTCCATCAACACGAGAGTGTCCATCTCGCCCACACCAGACAATGCCTAATTCATCCTCCCTCCTGGGCTCCTTATTTGGGAGTAAGAGAGGAAAGCCCCCTCCTCAGGCTTACCTGCCTTCAGCCCCTCCCCAGCCACCCCCATACCTGCCAAGCCTGCCCCATCCTCAGCACTCTGTGGCAAGCCATCACCAGGGGCCTGCAGAGGGCCCCCCACAACCCCAGATGCATGGGCACCATAGCCAGTACTGCCATATGCAGCAGAACCCGCCCCCTTACCACCACCACCACCACTACCACCCCCCGCAGCACATCCAGCACGCACACCCGTACCACCATGGACCCCCCGGGGGCCACCTGCCCTACGGGGCCCACATGCACAGCCACCCACCACTGCCCTTGGCCCATGCCAGCCATCCCGGCCACTCAAGCCATGCAGCACACCACCACGGGCAGTCCCCTGTTCCACCGCCCCCCACCAACAGCAAGGCGAAACCCAGTGTCATCAGCACAATTGTGTAGATAGCCTGAAAGGGGGTCCCAGACCCCCTGGAACAAGTGCATACCACACAGAGACACGCCTGGGGACAGCCAGCCTCAGACCAGACCCAGGGCACTTCTGTTTCCATCTCTGCCCCCTGCTCCCCACAGCCTGGATGGAACCTCCCAATCCTATGGGCTTGTGTTGTAGGAAACAAAGCTCCTGATTTAATTTAGCGTTGAGCCCTGGGCTCCGTCTTCTTCAACCCAAGGGGTGGGCCTCAGCCACCATCAGCTTTGAAATGGTTCCTCTGGCCAAGTTGATGTTGAACTGCCCACCTCTCCACCCCCACGCAGCCCTGAACTCTTTCCTCCCTAGTTGTACATGCATATGAAAAGCCTAGAAAAAGAAGAAACAAGACACAAAAACCAGAACAGAACAAAACAGAAAACCCAAAACTTGCTGCATTATTGCTCTTTTATTGACAATGGGCAAAATTAAGTAGACCTGATATGGTTGATGAAAATACGTAAGTAAACTTTATATAATATAAATATATAAATATATAAATATAAATAAATATATATATATATATATACTGTATAGGTAGTATTTGTGTGTGAAAGGCAAACATTTCAGTCCACAAAATTAGCAATATAGACTTTACAAGGAGCTCCACTTACCTGATAGAAAGACAGTACCTTAGATGAATGTGTGAGAGAGTAGGCCGAAAACCTAAATGCTAGGAACAAACTCAGATGCTTTCATATTTTCATAAAAAGCAAAGAAGTCCCTCTAGGACTAAATCATTACTTACGCAATCATTACTAACTGTGCCAAGTAACATAGATCTAACTGTTTAAAAAGTCCAATGTTGCTTTATATAAATCCTTATTTTATTAACAGAATACTATCATAAATAATCAGTATTATTAATGCTCTGTTATTTCAGGTAAGCAAATAGATAAAATGCAGTAAACTACAGTAGCAGCTCAGGATAACTAGTTAAGAACTGGTTGTCTTAGAATATTGGTTACACAGATTCATAGACATTTGAACGGCTGTGATAACTGTGAATTTCCATGATCCATATTTCTTTTATATGCATATGATTTGATGCACACTCACTCAGAGTCCTCTAAGAGGGGCACCCATACACTGCAGACGTAGCATCTCCAACATGGAACGACCAACTCTCATCCTCGTCTCCCTCAGCGCCATAACTTTTTCATCCTGTTTCCAGCCGCAACAGGCAGAAGCCCCTGAGCATGGTTTCACCAGGAACCTCTTTCAAACCTGCAGGCTGATTTTAGCATTTAGCAACCAGGGCAGTGTGTGTGTTTCCCATTTTATTTTCTGAGTGGTAGCCGTGATCATTGTAATTTCATGTAGCCATGTGCTAGCATAACCCCTGTGTCATCACTGTGGCCCCTCTAACCCCAGCTGAGAAGTGCCCAGCCCTCACCGGTGAGGCTCCCGCTGCCTTCTCATGGTCCAGTTAGCTGCCAGGGCATCATATGACTCTCAGCTGTGCTCTTGTTGCTTCCGTGTTGTGGTGACACCATCTGCTCCCCTGGGGCCGGGCGCTGCACGCGTCCGGTTCTGTGCCTGAGTCACCCATGGGCCATACTTTGTAGTTTCAGCCTTTCGAGCCACTGCAGCCACCAGTGCTGTGTTCCTAAGCCATGGGACCCGAGGACTGCCCCACGGCACCTGCCCAGGTGGAGAGCCCTTTCAGAAAGGGCGAAGCAAACACGGGACTGTGGGCTGTGGGGCTTCGTGCTCCTGGAAGTCATGGTGAGCTGTGGCCGGACTGCAGACGACAGAGGGGAGCCCACCTTAGCCACCCGGCTGGGTGTCTGTCCATTTCACTCCCCATCACCTCTTTGCCATATCATTGAGGTCATCATACCAGCAAATCTGCAAACTGAGCACTTTGTTAATCTCCACAGAGAGCAAATACAACAATCTAGAATTTAGCCTTTTTTAAAAAGAAGTGTGACTTGAACTTGCCTTCCTTTACCTTCTCATTGGTCCAGCATCTCTCTCTTGGGCATCCACTCAAAAAGAGAGAGGCAAAGAGCACAGGCACTTGACCTGGTCCAGGCCCAGCTGAGGGGAGGCTCCCCAGTCCCACTGACTCCTGAATTCTGTGGTTTTTCTTCAGACCCAGGCTCCCCGAGGCATTCTCTGTTGTGCAGTTTAAAGGATGTTGTTTTGACAAGGAAGTCAAATACTGTGTGTCATAGATGTTGATCGTGTGAAGCCACATCTATGTATTGTATATTTGCAAAATATATCAGTGTTACTATTGACAAATAGTTGAAGTAAAGTTATAACATATTAAATATGTCTGCTTTTTTTACTCTTCTGTACCAATGGTAGAGTTCAACTGTAAACTATAGGTTGTTCCAGAAAAGATACAGGCTGTTTGGTACAAGGATGCTCTTTTTGAAGGGACAGGCACTAGTGAGAAACAAAGCAAAAAGAACCAACAATAAATTCAGTGGTGGAGGCCTGTGGGAGGGCTCTCTCATCATTGCGTCTGCAGTGCTCCGAGGGCCACTTGGGACTCTCACCTCCAAAACTGTTACTGATATGCTGAGTTTGTCAGGTGCCACAGGGCTAGGTCTAGTGAAAGGTGGCTTCTTGAACAAATGCAGTTTCCAACTTTATACGGTGTTTCCAACTTTATACAGTGCATTGTGTTCAATGAGGTTTTCTCATTCTCTGTGTTTTGTTTGCAAGCCTATCATAGGAAGTGTTTCCAGAAGTACATTGTTCCGTTGAAGAGACTAGAGCCAAATGTGATTCCCATGTTGCTTTCATGGGGCTGTGCTCTCTGGATCTCAACCTGTCAGAGTCACAGCTGTGGGGACCTATTGTTCACAGAGCCCCTCGTGCCCTCAGTAGGCTGAGTGCCACCACGGTGTTTGTGTAATCTGTCAGGACACTCTTGGGACATTTTTCTCAAGTCGCACAAATTAGTTCAATACATAATTTCTGACAGGAACAGACAACCCTTAGAGGAAGCAGCTGGTAATATCACAAAAATCTTTTCTGGGACAACAATTAAATCATGTATTTGTATTTTTTTAAGTTTATTAATGAATTGTACAACACTGTAAAAATAAAGTTTATCCTAATATGATGTGCACATCTTGCTTAAAAATGTCTTCAGTCTTCTAGTGTAGCGTGAGTTTTCCACCATGTACTGCATGCAGCAGAAGCCTCTTCTTTTTTAAAAAAATGAGCTGAAAAGACAGCAGATATTTAAACATGACCCTCGGTATTGACTCAGTGTTCCATATGAAGCTTTGTCTCTACAGGTTAAGCATGCATCTTACAGTTTTGTTGTAAAAATACCATCACCCTTCCTGCCTGAAAAATGAGTAATTTTGTACCTATTTTAAATAACAACAATAATCAAGGAAACAGATTGCACAATGAATCAATGTAAGTGGGGGTGGTGAAAAGGGACAAGCAGGAAGAGCCTGCTTGAGGTCACTTGTACCTCCTGTACATGTCAGTGTCGCTGTTCTGTCTGCAGTCATGCTGAGGTTGTGTGCAATATCTGTCTCCTCTTGAGAACTGTCATTCACCTTCGAGTTGTTTTAAATGACTAGAATCAGGTCTGGAATGCAGACTTCAAGGGACTCCTCACTCACAAGAAGGCTGACACCCCCTCAGTAACTGTGAGGAGGAAAGGAGTGCTTTCTTTTAATATGCATTCTGTTTGTGAGTAGTAACAGACTCTATTGATGTGAAAAACCATAGCTGTGATCATGTGGAGAAATCAAATAAATCCTTTAAAATGATCAGATTCTCACTTTTTCTGAAGAGTCCAGATGTTTCCCTATTGGCCACAGAGAGATTTTGGGCTGACAAGCTTGCCCATTCTTTGTCATGATCATGGGCACTGGGTTTCCTGGAAGGCATTGGACTGACTTGAGAATGCTTAAGATAAAGGTGTATATCACAACCTCATATGGAAGACATCAAAAGCGTTTATAATTTCTAGCAACCTTAAGTTGGTTTTAGTGCTTTCATCAAGTTACAGGAGGTGGGTCCTATGAAGTGTTGAGGTAGACTGGGTATGACTTAGGGAGGGAAGAAACCGCAATGGCCCAGTCCTCAAATGCTTAAAGAGAGTTTATTTAATGAGGTCAAAGTTATCTGTTTTCTCATGCTGGTTAATTTGATGGGCAAAAGGCAGGAAAATGAATTCTGATTCTACTGAAAGAGTTCTGTGAGAACATTATTGATTTGTACTATCTCATTTCCTAGAACCGAATTCCGTTCCAGCAAACCTGCCTTAACCTCTCTCAGTACCTACCGTAAAGTGAAGTAAAACTGGTAGGTCTAATTTATGGGGTGCGGGGGGAGGAGGTTAATTTTAGTGACCAAAATTAACTGTGTCTCACCCTTCATAAAGAAGTGAATTTTGATTAAAAGATGTTATCAGAGTTGTGGACATGGGTAAACATTCCTTTTCCAGGCCATTCAGGGGTTCTTCAACATAGAGAAGCTGCTTATTAAAATTCCTTGAAGTGGTTAGCTCTACTTCAGCATTTGAGTCTATGGCACATTGAACTGTATGCCACCATCAGCTCAGTGTAGGTAAGCTGCTAACCAATGCTTTAATGTGATGATTCTCTGGGTTTGTGCTTGTCTACCCCACCAGACTGTGAACTCCTTGGAGGCAAGGGATGCATTGATCCCCTTTTCTGTGTCCAGTGACCAGAACAGGACTGGTCTTGTCAAAATGCATCTGAAAAATGATGGCTGGTAGGAGGAGGAGGTCACAGCAAAACCACTGGTTATTTTAGTGTGTGTTAATCATCATCAAAATTTTATGAAAGTTTATTTGCTCTGCCCTTTGCTACCCTTGACATTGAGAAGTCTAGCTGGGGACACATGACATTGTGAAACTTCTACAAACGTGGTTAATGTGCAGACTATTTCCATGCCCCACTCAATGGCACATTTTTAGTCTCATTTTACTTGACCTTGCAGCAGCTTCTGATATACCATCACCATTCCTTCTCAAAACAGTGTATCCTCGGCATCTTTGATCCTACACTCTTCTTTCTCCCTGGGAATGCCTTCACTGCCTCCTTTGTGGCCAGCACACCTCCATGTTGACATTAAGTGTTGGTTTAAGGATCAGGTCCAAGCTTTCTTCCTTCCTTTACTTTTTTTCTAGGCATTTTCATGCGAGAACAAATTTTCAGCCTACCTTCTATATACCTATAGCTTCCAAACTTGAATCTCCAGCCCAGACCTCTACTCTGAGCACCCACGTTCCTTTGGATCTTTCAGTAGTACCTCAAACTCTTGTCTCCATGACCGGATTTATGATCACACACAAACATGCACAAAACGGGCCTCTGCTCTGTTCCCTATTTTGGAAAATGGCGTCACCACAGAGTTATATAAATCAGAACCTAGGAATTGTTCTTGACACCTGCCTTTTCCTTGACTCTCCAACTCCATTCTGTCACCAAACCCTTTTGATTTCTACCTCCTACATGTTCTTAAATCCATCCATTTCTTCACATCTGTCACTCCACTTTAGATCATTACCTCTTCCATAACTGATCTCCCAGCCACCATAGTGGGTCCCTCAAATCCACTCTCCACATAGTATCAGGGAAATCTTTTAAAGGTGCAAGCTGTTTAGAGCCATGTCAATAGCTTCCTGTTGCTCCTATGATTAAAAACACAAAATTCTTAACATGGCCTTCATGAGGCTTGCATGAGCCAGCCTTTGCCTGCCACTTACCTTCACTTTCCCCTTGCACTCCAGCCACATGAGCCTTTCAGATTCCCAAACAAGCTGTGTTTCCTCCTGCTACTGAGCCTGCGCAAGTATACCCCCTCTTGCTTCTGTGTTCAGTTAGCTCCTATTTCATCAATCAAATTTTAGCTTGGCTACTATCCCCTCTGTAGTTATATGTTAAATAGTGTGATAATTTGTTACAGTAAATGTCACAAGATCAGGACAGTGGCTGTTCTTGCACACTGCTGCAATTGCAACATGTGGCACAAAGCAGAACTTTCATAAATGTTTGTTGAATGAAGAGATGAAGACAACAGAACCAAATGATGAAATTCAGTGCTGAAATGCATGATGGAATCCAGAGGTTCAAAACAGATAAGCACCATGGGCCAGAGTGCTGGGAAGAAACTAGGTTCTGCTGACATTCCTGTAGTTCAAGGAATAATTAGGGCAATGGTGCAAGGGTTTTAATAATTGTGTTTAGCTCTCATCAAATGTAGAGCATTTGGAATGACTATATTTATAAAAAGCAGGGGAAATCATCACTTAGAATCCCACCAACCCTTAAAGAGTTATAATTATTTGGTCTATTTTCATTCCATTTTTTCTTCACACATATTTCTCAGTTACCTACGTCAGATTTTCTGAGTGTGTACCAAAAGGTTTATAAGTGTTATTTGGTCCCCCTTGTGGGGAAAAAGGAGTTTTCACAATAAAAAACCTCTAGGAAATGCTGAGTTAGACAAAGTTAAGTTAGTTTCTTTACTGCAGGACTTCTCAGACCCTTTTAAAAAGATGATGTGCATTGTGAATCTCTGAAAGATGGTCTGTTTCCCCAAATACTTGGCTTTGGAACTCTTTGAACTCTATAGCATACAGTTTAGTAAAAGTTTATGTGCAAGTTTTATCTTTTCTTTAACATATTCTGACGTTATGAAAGACTCGGTAGTTTGTAACATCTGCATAGTGGCTCATTATATGGATGTCTCATCATGTACTTGCCATGCAAATAGTATTATTTTGTTGAACAAGGAACAAACAGAAGGAATAGAGTTACTAAGTGGATCTGGTGATTCTGGTAAGAGTTTAGGATCTAGAGAAATAGACACCACAGAATCTATGTTAGTACTCAGTTCCTGGTGTGCACATTCATACCATTTAGGTAACTCTGGGTAGCTATATGTTGCCTGAGATGCCTCTCTGTTCAGCATGTTTAATTCAACAATCACTTTCCAAGGGAGTCCAACTCACTTTTTATCACAGATTGGACCTGTGATAAAGATTTATTGGCTGGCTGGTGGCAAGTATAATGTGAAGGCTACTTATCCCCATTTCTAATGTGTAGCTTCATGACTTTTAAGGTTGTTTTGAGGAAATTTTTTCTTACCTTTGTTACTCCCAGCCCACCTCCATAATGTGACCAGTGTCCTATAAGAAAAGAAAGTTCGAATTAAATCTGAAAGGTAGGAACAGAAGTGCTTTAGTCATCTTCCACAGAATTAACAGGAAAGAAAGCATTCTAAAAATGAAAACACCAGAGGATTATTGAGATCAGCCAAATTGAATCTCTTCTCATACCCTTGAAAAGCTATTAAGAGAAAGAACAAATAAAATCACCTATCGTTCAGACCTACAGTGTAACCAGGATAGAGCAAAACCCACAAATTTTAGTGAAATGTCAGCAGGAAAATAAACATCTTACACTGGCAGAGCTGACATCAAATCTCATACCAGAATATAGCTCAAGGGAAGGACAGCATGGGAAAGGGGAAATGGCATCCCTAATGGTGGTAGGACACTGGTATCATCAACTAGGGTTCACACCTGTAAAGGCAGAGACCAACCCTGAGTGTAAATATGCTGAGAGGAGAAGTAAGAGCTGGTGGAATCAAAAGAAGACTTGGCAAGTTCATGGGACAAGAGCTGGCAGAAGGCACTGCTACTGAAGAAGAGGGAAGCATCCAGGGAAAGGGAGATTTCCCTTGGAGGCTTGGTGGTGAAGGGAAAGAAGGAAGCAGCTTAAAGAAAGGTCCCTATTAAAATAAGATGCTGTCAAAGAATCAGAAGATGGACATAAAAAAATGAAGTGTCTTTTATTAAAGGAACTGCAGTTCACTGTATAGGACATTTTTGGACTACAAAATCAAGTAAACTCCCCAAGACCTGACCCTTTCCCCATAACATCACTGCTGCTGTCAGTGCCAGAAAATCCAATACAAATAAACACAAAGTCTTCATACAAAAGCACTTTAAGGGGAGAAAAATGAGATAACTTTTTAGCAAATAAAAATCACATAAATGCAAACAGGATAAAGCCAAAAGCAGGAAGAAAATGTAACACTTCACATCATTAATTAAATATAATAATT